GCACTCTCTGGGCGGGGTTTACAAATGTCAGCTTATTGCCCCCAACAATCTGGGTTCTCATTTTATCAATCTTGGAAGGATTGAAGGCCGAGTCAACCTTGAGCTAATCAGGATCAAACTGCTGGCGGTGGGCAGAGCTAGCCTGCAATACTGCACTCTAACCACTCTACTGCACCACCAGGGCTATTAGTTGAGGTCATCAGTATCCAGGTTAGAGGATCTTCTCTGGCCTGCTATCAAATACCACTGTAGACAGAGAAAGCAGGGACGATGGTGTTTCCCTAATAATTAGCTTTTACCCCCACTTTAAGTGGAAATATTGTTTTCTATGTATCATTAAGGATTTCCTCAAGCTTTAATACAAGTTGCATCATCTGCATTCTCATTTTATTTAACTCAGCTTTAGAAAAAAAAGCAATCCTTACTTCAGTTAATTCTTTCAAGAAGAGTCCACACCTTTTCTGATTTTTCTGAAGTCTGATCCTGCATAGAATCCTTGGGCAGCGATTCTCACATGACCTCCCAGTAATAGCAGATTGAGCCTGGGGGATGTTTTAACTTTGGGGAGCCAATGGAGGAAGTGCACTCTGGGAATACCTGCTTCCCTTCTGCAGGAAACTCTTGACAGACAGCAGAGATGAGATGTTGCATACTATTTATTCTGAAGAATATCTCAAATATTAGATTTTCTATCCGGATTCTTAAATACACCAAAAAAGAATAAAACTGAAGTATGTGCTGTGAGCAAAAGCCTAGCATACACTACTGTACTTTATTTAAAATGAAGCTAAATATACGTATGAAAATTTAGTGTGTGGGGGGGTGGGGGGGTTCAGTTGGCAACAAAGAGAATGGAGAATCAGGTTCCCAAGATAATCCCAGCATAATCATATATAAATAATATATATAATATATATATTATATATAATTATAGGTATAATTATAATTCCAGTATATTTATCTTTTACTCGTTTTAGCTTCCATAATATAGTGCATTTTCCTTTCCTACTTCCACCATGTCTCCAATGAAACTTGAACACTCACCAATGTGAGTGACAAATGGCTCTCCAGATGATGTACAGCTGTTAATTCCCCGTTGGCTAGCCCAGGGGTCCCAAACCTTTGGGGCGCGGCCCACTACCAGGCCTTGAGCCATTTGGAACTGGGCCACGGAAGTGGCAAGCGAATATGTGCAGGGGGCGTGAATGCCCACCGCTCATGCAAATGGCGCTGCGCATGTGAATGCGCTTGCCTGCCGCTCATGCAGAACCATCTCCCTTCCCCCCCCCGTTGGTCCACAAAGCCGGAAAGATTGGGGAACTCTGGGCTAAACCCAAGATGACTTCAACATCTGGAGGGCTACAAAATCACAATGTATGGGCTAGGAAGAGGGGAAGGGATCTGATGGAAATTACTTGTAGAAAAAAGAAGATATGAAATATTTACAGTGGTATCTTGGTACTCAACTGCTTTGAAACTCACCCAATTTGGTACTCAATGCATTTTGACATAAAATTTTTGTCCCGGTACTCGTTGTTTGTTTGGTACTCAACATACCAGCTAGAATTTGTTGGTGTCAGCTGTGTTGTGACTCACTATATTCCTTATGGGAAAAATTTGTTTGGTACTCATCATGCCTCCCGGAACCAATTAATGATGAGTACCAAGGTACTACTATATTTCCTTATCAGCATCATAGCCTCCCAGTAAAGCGCTTCCCCAGTCTAATTAAACTCCTAGGAATGGTTAAGGAACTGCAACAGAAACGTGTGGAGGGGAATGCAACTTCAAATCTCCGATTACCATGGCAGATGCATCATACTTCATATTACTGATCAGCAGGAAAGCCAAATGAAATTCCACCAGGGGCCCATCCAGGTACTATTCAAAGAACAGGATGTGCAATGTGTCCAAATCATTGTAGCAGACCCAAGGGATAAAATGCTTTAAAGAGCTGAGCCAACTGGAGGTTTTGCTGTGAACCAAGACTTCCACCTGTCCACACGAGTCTTGGATGATCGGATCATTCATTTGGCAGCTGCCAAAGGAGCCGTAATCTCTCTTTCCATTTCCTACAGTTTTCCCTCTGAAGGGGAAAACAAATCTGTGATGGCACCATAAGGGTTGGTACAACCTTAGACAGGTTTAGTGGAAAAGCAAACAGTCTCGCATCACTGCCCATTTTGCAGTGTGCCCTCGTAGGGCATGGGATGAAAAGTACGATGAGATGGAGTGCCTAGAAAAACCAAAGTCTTTCTAGGACTTGGTTTCAGTTACAAATGTCAGAGTATGCAGTTAGCTGTCCAGAAGGAATCTGTCTGACTCCCAGCACAATTTAGTCTATTTAGGACTAAATCTAAATCTCTCTGGGTTGTTTGAATCCACCTCCTTCTGGTTAACTGAAATTTGTATGGTACAGGATTTCTGAACCTGGACTTCTTCAATAAAAAAAAACAGTGCTTTAGATCTGAACAATCCCATAAAAACAAATAGCTTAATTCAGAAATAATAGAACAACAGAACTGGAAGGGACCTTGGAGGTCTGCTATTCCAACCACCTGCTCAGGTAAGAAACCCTATACACGTGGTGGTGAACCTATGGCACGTGTGCCACAGGTGGCACGCAGAGCCCTCTTTGTGGGCACACACGCCGTCGCCCCAGTCCTAGGCCCTCAGCTGGGTTTTATAAAACCTTTTCGCTTTAGGCCTCTGCCGCCATGTGCAAAAAAAAAAAAAGGTTCAATCAATCAATCAACTTCAACTTCTCTTGGGAAAAAAAAGATTTCCCAAAGTTGGAATTAATTGATTGAACTTTCTAGTCCCACCCAGTCGGCCGTTACCACCGCAGCCACGCCCACCCAGTGGGCCACGCCTACCCAATGGGCCACATCCACCCGGCACCCGACGATTACATAAGTGGGTTTTGGGTTGCAGTTTGGGCACTCGGTCTCTAAAAGGTTTGCCATCACTGCCCTATACCATTTCAGACAAATGGTTGTCCAATCTCTTCTTTAAAACTTCCGGTGTTGGAATTTCAGTCCAATTAATCCCTGGTTAACAAAGACACTCAACAAATGTGGTCTCCATTTTGTTTTGTTAACATTTTTAAACAAAGCAATGCAGGAGGATGGGGAATCTAATAAAAATGAAGCACAAATTATTTAAAAAAAAACAAAGAAAAAGTATTAACAAGTAGGACAGCCAAGAGTTGTTATTTGTAATTTACTGCTTGACCAAATTAGGGGCAGTGGTTAAAAAAAAAACTTTAAAAATAACAATAAGGCATGGGGAGATGATGGATTCCTAATTTCCAGTGTCTGTCCCATTAAATAAGAGCACAAAATCAAAAAAATCCCAAGTATCTGTATACATAATTACAATACTGAAACATATATATAATATATGTGTTAGAGAGAAAAAGTATATACAGAGAGGAAAATAGCCTAATAGAACATTTTTGTTAGGGATGTGAATCCAAAGAGAAACTGCTATTTGGTACAGATATATTTGGGGAAGTGAGATTCTGAAACAGGCTCATGATTTTCAAACTATTCACAACTGCAGAGAACATGACACAAGAGAAGGAAAAGATGCTGCGGAAGAATTGGGAACTCACGAATCCAGTATGGACTCATAATACTGTAGCCCAGTCTGACCTCCAAGGCAGCAAGAATTTATCTTCCAGTTTCAAACTCCCCAAATCTCTTTTCATCATTCCTAAGCTGATCAACCCTACGGCCTGCCAATATTATTTTCCTACACTGCATAGAATAGAAGAAACCCAGAGTTTTGACAATTGCCTTCTGCTCCACCATTAAAGGTTTGCAAGGCAGTATCGGCATGTAGTTCCTTAAAAGGAAACAGAACTCCATTGCGGCCGCACAACGAACCACAGGAAAAAAAAATGTCTAGAGCAAAATACATTCCAATTACTTTAAAACAGTGTTTCCCAATCCTGGCAGCTTTTAAGACCTCAACTCCCAGAATTCCTCAACCATTCCCCAAGCTGGCTGGGGAATCCTGGGAGTTAAAGTTGCTAAGGTTGAGAAACATTGCTTTCAAGGTCCATTTTTGTGGGACAAGGAAATCAAGCATGCATCGTATTTGTTAATATCTACATCAACAAGCTATAAACCAGTTTTAAACCAGCTTTATCCGCCACTGCTCAAGAAACCCTGTAGCTTTTGTGAAGACAGGGGAGCAGCACTAAAATAGGAAAACATTCTCAGTTATCTTCATTTACTATCTAAGTAAATCAGTGACGGTGAAAAACTAATTCTTAAGGAATTTATTCTGTAATGGAGAAGGATCTTTTGTTTTTAAGGGGTAGGATTAAATGCTAAATGTAATCCAGTAACAAACATTTCAATAATTTACAGCTATAGCCATTTGGAGAGAGTTTGCCCAAATCTCCTCTTGGGGACGGAAGTTCTCCCCAAAAGTAAATACCTCTTTTGGACAAAACAGCAAGAAGTCAGACAAAGGTTACTCTCCTAGATTTCTCAGGAATGTTTCTGCCAAAAGCTATTTCTGAAGGGCAGGAAATTGACCTTTTTTTTTCCTTTCTTTGTTCTGACTGAAACTATTTGACTACATGCCAAAAACAGAGAACCAGAAAATGCAGCCTCTCTTTCGGACCCAATCTAATTACTTCTCTTTGCTGAGCCAATGCAGCAAACTTTTCTAGAAACTGAGATATTTTTTTTTCTCTCCCTTGTTGACTGCTAGGAATCCCTTATATAGGAATAGCCAACTGGCCAAGCCTGGCTTCCTTAATCTCCCGCCACGGTTTTGAGACAGATTGTTGTAACAGGACCGAGCTTCTCTTTTCCTGAACGTCCAAGCTCGAAGAAGCCACCCTGGTTCCATGTCTGCCTATCAACAAATGGTTCTGAAAAGAGAGGCAATTTGGCCAGGAGACAAGGCAGCTAGCTTAGTCTGTAGAAAGCCATGCAAGGGGAAGTACCTATATGTGTGTGTGTGTGTGTGTGAGAGAGAGAGATGTTTCCTAAGTGCCTTGTGGAGCCCATCAGCTTGAGGAGAATTGGGGGAAAATATGCGATAATGTTAAAAGGGCCAATCCACCTTGCAATGGCAGAACGTGCCTGTTAATATCGGGGAAGGGCCAGAGTCCATATTTGGCCTCTCTGCTCAGGGAGGTGATGTCATCCCTGGAGTGGTTAGAGAGTTGTAAAAGGAGGCGGTTCCGTACAAAGTACTTGTTAAGAATGCAATTACTTCCGTGGTTAGGCTGCCAGCTTGGAGGGAACAGAGGAGGGTAGTGCAGTTGCATTTGTCGGTTGTGGTGAAATTCACACGGGGCCACCAAGTTCCATATCCATGCATAGAGCACAGCAGCTACCATGGACCTTTTCTCTCTGATCATTACGGTCGAGGAGAGCAGAATGGGGGACTCCAGCCCATCTCAGGCACACGAAAGAGGTAAACACGTGGACCCTAAGTAATTCTCCTCCAACGCTCTCTCACCTTCAGTCTGGGGGTTTTCCACGTCCAATAGTGAGTCCCTTTGGCGTACGTCCTCCGGTCCTTTGGGTCCTTCAACCACACTATGTCTCTAGTGGCAACCATCTTCTTGGTCCTCGGGAGTTGTTCAGCCTTGTGTTGTCCCACCCCTCAGTATTATTCAAAAATAAGTGTCCTGGAGCACAGACCCCCCTGGGGTTTCCCCATCTTTTCCATCTTCAGGGGCTGATTTGGGTTCTTTCTTCCTCAAAGACATCTTTCTTTCTTTCTTTAGCTTGGCTTCCTCTTTGGTTCGTTCTTTCTGCTGCTTCTTCTCCCGCTCCTTTTCCTGCTTCTCCCGCTCCTTCTGCAGCTTCTTCTCCCGCTCCTTCTGCAGCTTCTGCTTCTCCTTCTCTATCTTCTCTTGCTTCTCCCGTTCTTTTTCTTTCCGCTTTTCCACTTTGCTGCTGCTGCTTTTCTTAGGGCCACCTAAGGGGGTATTGTTCCCAGTAGGGGAGGGCAGGGCAGCATGAAGACCTTCAGAGACCACCACCTGGTTCTGGGCAGCAGGAAAGAGCGGGGAAGGGGACTCAGCCAGGGTACTTATGGAATGAGCTGGGGAGAAGGAGGGGCCACTGATGCTGCCTAGGGCAACCCTGTGTTTTAGCCCTGTGAGGCTCAGGAGGCTGGCACTGGCGGTCAGGGGAGGGTTCATACGGTAGCGCTCCTCGAGGATGGCTCGTGAGCCATGGAGTCGGCGGGAGGGCTTGTACTGGAGCTCCCCCCGAGTTTCCCGCCATTTTTTTAGCTGGGTGGTATTCTCTCGCTCGATGAGGGCTTCAGTAACTGGAATATTAATCACCTGAATGAGATGGGAGAAAGAAAGAGGAGGAGGAATAACTACATGTGGCATCTTTTGATCCATCTTCCCGTCTACAGGTGAGGACTTTGTCATGAAGTACATGTAAGCCAGGAGCAGATCTCATTCAAAATTCCTGTCAGTGAAAGGAGATCCTCTGCTTTTACATACATACATACATACATACATACATACCACTTAAGATTTATATACTTCAAAGTGCTTTACAGCACTAAGTATTTAGAGTCAGCATATTGCCCCAAAACACACACACACACACACACACACACACACACACACACACACACCTAGCAGTGCCCATCACAGCATTAAAGCCAGGAAAAGCCTTCTAAGTATTTTTTTTATTACATAGTTAAAGAAAAGCTAAGGATATTCTTCTCAGCCAATTTCAAATTACTGCATAAATATGGTATTCAAGAAGCATTAGGCATCCCAACTAAGTATCTGAATTTAAAATCCATTAATAAATTCAAAATGTGACTTATTTCAGCAGGCTTGAAGATCTCAGGGAAATGGAACTGTGAGATGATGTAATAGTGTGTAATGGGATGACCTTGGGAGAAGAGGACAAGAGATGCTGCCCAGGGAATGGTCAGGCGAAGTAGCCTGCAGCGTGGCTGGCTCAGGGATTCTGGCAGTTGAAGTCCACTGGTTGCAAAGTTAGCATAGTTGCCCATCCCTGGTTTACATTATATTTGAAAACCGTGTTCCATTACATGGCCAGAAAACTTCGGGGCAGCAATATAAATAAAGAACAGCAACAAAGAAAAAAGTTGGGATTCTCACCTCGTGGACCAAGTATTCCTCCTGCAAGGCCTGAACGGGGAGATTTCGCAATTTCTCCATTGTCTCATACATGCCTTGACAAGATCGCAGCTTGTCCACCGAGCCCAAGGCGTTCCGGAGTAGCACTAAGCCCACCCGGAAAATTATCTTCACTCCTGCAAGAACATAAAGAGGAGGAAGAGAGGACCAAATCAAAGAAAAGGGACACAGGAAGTTAGAATAGAGGGACAACGGTAGGGTTGCAAATGCAAAATTGATGCAGGTGAAGGAACCAAAGTCCACTAAAGGAGAAATGTCATAAAGTTTTAAAACAATCCTATCTGAATTTGGCTCTCAAAGCCAGCATCCCGTTTTAAGCAATGTGCAACCAATCAGGGGCCTCTGGGTGTTTGTGAAGGTGTATGTTGCGAGCTGCTAGGAAAATGCACCACCTACCCCTGATTCTAATCTGCATTTTATTGCTCACTAAATGAGTAATCACCATTACATTGTAGAACAGTGTTTCTCAACCTTGGCAATTTTAAGATGGCTGGACTTCAATGCCCAGAATTCCCCCACCAGCAGGGAATTCTGGGAGTTGAAGTCTACACATCTTAATGTTGCCAAGGTTGTAAAACACTGGTTTAAGTGATCTTAATCTGACTCTCAAACTGGGAGACAAGCTGGCTGGGGAATTCTGGGAGTTGAAATCCATCCATCTTAAAGTTGCCAAGGTTGAGAAACACTGCTGTAGAACAGAGAGGATTCTATAATAAGCTCCTGTGCAGAGAATCACTTGGCCTGTCCTGAACGTACTGCTATAATCCAATTTTTTATTTAATAATCCTGGGTTCTAGCACAGAGTCACTTGGTTGATGTGGGCTTGATTGAATACATAAATAAGAATAAAATAAATACTGCAGCTGTTATCCCAAGCATTCCAAGCATTTTGCAAAGACAAGCCTTGTGGAATACAATGAAATTCCAAGTTACAATGCACCAGTCCGCACCCAGACAGACAAAATCCATGTTTTCAATACCATGCATAATTCACAAACATCTGACTCATCAGCTTCTCCTGGTAAACATATTGAATGATCCCCAGTACCATTTCGAGAATAATTATGTCAGACTAGGTTTGACATCATATGATTCTTCTCTTTCTCTCCCTCCGCCCGTTTTTTTGTTTTGTCAAACAGCCATCAAGACAGCCAACATGCTGGCCAGGATTATTTAAATAATGGTTGGGTAGGTTTTCCTCCATCCAGTGAATTAAAAGTATTTCGAGGTGTGTGTGTGTGTGGAATCAGGAGATTGCAGAATCACTGTGGGTTTTCTCCCTTCTTGATGGAATCTGTGTTAAGGGAAGAAGCAGGCATGCAGAACTTGACAGAAAGCCAAAGAGAATTGAAGGACACAGCTCACCTTCGCAGAAAAACATATCCCACACGCGTAACACGGAGCACCAAGGCAAGGTCCGGGAGAAGATGCACATAAACCACTCGGTCATATACAAGATGGGATCGATCTTGTATCTCTTCAGGTGACGATAGGCGATGGGAGACGCTCGTCGGAGAAGTGCAAAGAAGATCTCCCCGTCTAACTGGATTGCCTCCTGAACAAGAAGCACAGATGGGATCTGAAGTGAATTCAGGGGCTCTGGAAGTGATAGCCTGTATTTCCCCCACCAATGCTTTTATCTTCTCCTCCGAGGCCTAGATAGGGTTTATAACTTCTGTGAGCAGCAAAGAAAGTTGGGGAGATGAGACGCAGAATTGAATAGTACATTGCACCAAGCTATTGTTTGCTTAGCCACCGTTTGATGAACACAGCACAACTGGCTGAGTTCAGACACCAGACTGAGCCCTAAAGCATGGCTCATATGACATTCCAAACCAAAGTCAAATAAACTTTACGATGGGGTTACCTGAAGGCCAATACAATCTGCAAGACTGAAGTGGTTGCAACCGTTCAAAGTTTCTGTAGGCAAAAATTGTGTTGCTCCTTTCAATTCAATCAATTAACAAACCAGACTGACCTCAGAGGCACGGCAGGGCTCAGCTTTGCCCATCAATAGACGCCTGCCAGAACCTGACCTACTCGTGACAGATAACTCATGATTTAACTCAGTCTTAAGATCATTCACAGAATATGAAATTTCAAGTTGACCCAGAGTGGGGGAGAAGGGGAAGTGAGAAGTTGGAGAAGAAACCTGCCAAAAAAACCAACTGAGATGAGGTGGCCCGATAGAAAAACAAGAGCATTTCTTTGTAAGAAGTACAGATTCTAGCTGTGGAAGGCAAAAAGTTTGCAGGTGGCATCTGTCAGGAATTTCTTAAAGGCAAGACATCTATTTTCAAAACTGCTCTGCAGCTGCACAATCCTGGAAAAGGAATGAACTCCTTTAAAGAGCTGTAAAGGGGTAGGGGGTTTTTGTTTTCAAATTCAATGCCCTACTGGATATTTTTCAAACTCTGGACTTCCCACTCTTTTTCAGGAAGTTCCATCCTCCAGTACAACATAATCTTCTACTAAAGATAATGCTAAGTCTTCCTTAAATCATACCGAGAAGCACCATAATTTCTGTAAAAATTAATAAGGGAATTCCATCTGTTTCAGCCAGATTGGAAAGCTACAACTGAATCAGGTACCCTTCCATTCATAATTCCCCCCCAAAACAATGAATATTTTTCATCAATGCAACCTATTTTTTAAGTCAACAATGTGTAAAATAAAACTGATTTGTTAAGCTTCCAGCAAGGTAGTCCTCAATTTACAACCACAATTGAGCCCAAAATTTCTGTTGAAATTTGATTCATTTGTTGTGAATGTTGCCCCGTATTATGACCTTTCTTGCCATAGTTGTTAAGTGAATCACTGTAGGTGTTAGTAAGTTAGTAACATGGTTGTTAAATGAATCTGATTTCCTCGACTTTGCTTGTCGGAAGATTGCAAAAGGGGATCACATGACCCCAGGACACTGTGAACATCATATGAGTCAGTTGCCAAGTGTCTGAATTTTGATCATGCGACTGGGGGAAGTCGCAATGGTCATAAAGTATGAAAAATGATCATAAGTCACTTTTTTCAGTGCCATTGTAAGTTTGAATGATCACTAAATGAACTGTTGTAAGTTGAGGACTACCTGTGTGTTTACTTATTTATTTGTATACATCTATTTTGGTTGTTTTAAAAAATCCACCTTTTTTAAAAAAAGAGCTGTTATGCTATTTTCCTTCTGGTGACACCCAGGTTACTATTTCCAGGATCTTCAGCATTTTAATAAGAAATGGAACCCCTAGCCCCGATCTTTACACTGGAAGTTTCTGTGTACAGGTAGTCCTCAACTTATGACTGTAATGCAGCCGAGATTTTCCGCTGTAAGTTATGATAGTTGTAAGTTGAGGCATCCACATGACCAACCTAATTTTACAATTTCGTTTTGCAATAGCTCTTAAGCAAATGCCCGGCTGTTGTTAAGCATATCAGTAAGCTAACCCACTGTCTGTTTTTCCAGCCAGAAACCATCGTAAATCATAGTCATGTCTCTGCAGGACACTGCAAATGGCCATAAATGTGGGCCAGTTTCCAAGCACTCAAAAGGCAATCACATGAATGCAAGGGGGAGGGGGGAGGGAGGGCGCAGCCATCGGAACTTCAAATATGGGTTGTAAATTCCTTTTTTTTGGGGGGGGGGTCCACCGTAACTTCAAACAGTTGCTAAGCGGCCGATTGTTACGCAAGGACTACATGTAATACAAAAGGTATTCCCAATGAAGAATGCTAAACTGCTTTTCTCTATGGGAATGCAGTCAAACTTACCAATCCAGCACTGTAGTATCCAGGAAGATATTTCTCACAGATTTGCACCAGGCACCAGAAAGCTTGCTGTGGAGAGAGATCAAGGAATCTTTAGCCCAGATAATCGCAGCAGCCACAGTTGGGTGCAGGGCACACCAGCATTCCAGCAAACTCCAGGTTAAAACGTTCCAGTTAGGTGAACTAAGCCAGCAAATTCAATTCAGAGGCATTATATCAGCAGCCTTCAGACTTGGCAACTTTAAGACTTGTGGACTTCAACTCCCAGAATTCCTCAGCCAGCTCTGGCTGGCTGAGGAATTCTGGGAGTTGAAGTCCACAAGTCTTAAAGTTGCCAAGTTTGAAGACCCCTGCATTATACTTTCCCCAAACCTGGGGCTTCCAGGTTGCTTCAGTGACACAGAAGTAACACCTCAGAGCTGGTAGCAAAGCCAAAGGAGGAGACAAAGTCACAATTTGAGAACAGACCCAGATCCCCTTAGGGCTGCCAGTTAAAGTGTAATGGTTATGTGTTAACACCATACGTGCATAACGCTGCATGAAAACATGGATACTGTCAATGTTCTGGACCCAGCGTCTGGAACTGGTAACGTTCCCTGATAGTTCAAAAGGATAGACCCTGACATGTAACCAAGCAGGATGCCTGGTGCAAAACAAGACTTCCAAGCTGCAGCAACTCTTATATACATGCCCCGACCTGCTAAAATATTCGGAAAATATAAATTAAAACTAGGAAGTGTGGTTCTTTCCCAGAGAAACTATGCTTTCTAAACTGGCAACTGCATTGTGAATGAAGCAGCTCCTCACCTCTGCGGGCATATGCATCAGCAAAACTGCAGCTACGGGTGCTTGTGCTTGGCAGTAACCTTCTTCGGGCCGGTAGATGGTATAGGCTTTCAGGATGCGATAGAGGTCCTGCTGCCTGCGATGGAGAAGGATGAGGAGTGCAATTAATTTCATTTAGACTTTTGGACCCTATTGGAGCTCCCCGTTCGCGAGACCAAACTCTACGAAAGCAGAATTCTCCGTTATGTTTCTTTGGGGGTATTTAATTAGAAACAGGGCCTGTGGGCTAGTTAATGCTCAGCATTGCTCAGATCCTGTGCCAGGATGTTAATGAAACAGCTAAAAGTGGCATGGCAGACGTGAGTTCCTGATTAACACTATGTCCCATTATCTTAAGTCTAGAGATAAAGAAAGGCACATCAGAGGTCAGACACAGGAGCAGGTGTAGAGCTGGGGTGGTAGAGGAAATTCAATGTAAGAAAGAGCTGGCCCAATATAGGTAGTCCTCGACTTACAACCCTTTATTTAGCAACTGTTCACAGTTACAGCAGCACTGAAAAAAGGGACTTACGACCGGTCCTTGCATTTACAGCTTCCCCGTGATCATGTGATCAAAATTCAGGCCCTTGGCAGCTAGCCTGTATTTATGATGGTTGCAACACCCCAGGATCGTGCGATTGCAGTTGCGACCTTCCCAGCCAGCTTCCAACAAACAAAGTCAAGGGGGGAAGTTGGATTCACTGAATGATCACCTGATTAACAACTGCGGCAATTCACTCAATAACCGTGGGGGGGGGGGGGGGAAAGCTCATAAAATCGGGTGCGGCTCACTTAACAACCGCCTTGTTTAGCAATGGAAATTCTAGTTCCAATGGTTAAATCAAGGAGTATCTGTTTGCTTATGAAAGTTTCAAAATGAGTTGGGGATGTTGAGCTGCTCCAGTGTGTAGAGGGAGAACCGTTTTATGAATTCTGAGAAAGGAAAGGATCGTAGAGATCTGAGCACTGGAATAAAAAGAATCCCTTCTTTAATTCTCTCACCCGTGGCCTCCCCGAGCTGCGAACATCTCGTGGAAAGGGAATTGCCTATGGAGGTCCTTCTCAATAACATCTAGCCATTTGGGATCACCGGGCTGACGCTCCAATTCCTAACAGAAAAGAAAAAACCAACAAGGAAGGAAAATCGGTGAATTTGGAGGCGGAAGCCTATCTTAAGAGACTTTTCCTTTATGTAGTGTTTCTCAACCCTGGCGGCTTGAGGATGGGTGGACTTCAACTACTCCCAGAATTCTGGAAATTGAAGTCCACCCATCTTCAAGCTGCCAAGGTCGAGAAATCCTGCTCCAGAGGATCGATTATCAATTGCTGTTCTGGAAAGGATTCCAGAAAAACACCAGGTCACTGCTTGTTCCAGCCCAACCTTCTTCCTTCTCACTCAGTTATTCAGGAGAGTTCCCAGTTGTTACGTTTAGGGGCTTTTTATTGCAGTTTATTAATACAGCTTGATATTACTTGTAAGCTACCTCAGAATAAGTTGACTTTGGAAAAGCAGGATATAAATGTACCTATTAGAAATCCAACATTCTGCATTCTCCAAGATAAGACAGTAAACTTCCCTATTTTAGTAGCCTCAAAGGGTCCATGGAAATACCTCAAATTTTCCCTGATTTTGATCCAAAAGCTCCTTGCTGTTTGAGAGTAGCTGCCATGCTTTGGCACGGAGAGAAGAGGGAATCCCCTTCCGGCACCGCAATTTCACCTGCAATAAAATGAACAATCATTAATAGGTGAAGTAAAAAGACAGAAATTCAAAACCCCCGAGCAGAAGTTAAACCTCTTCTTTATCAGCCAGGAACAGAGGTCTCTAACCTTGATCTCTGCTCACCTTCTGAAATCTACGTGACAGCCACTTGTCCCAATGAGAAAACATGTCCAGCCACTTAAGTTCCCTCTGCCTGGCCACGTCCACGGGGATGGCGCTTTCCCTGCAACAAAAAAAGCAATTGAGGAAGACGATGAGCTAAGAAATATGCTACAAATGTCGTGTCTTGCACAATTCTAAGTTTTACTGCTCTCCAGGGGAAGGACTAAGGAGCTATGCAACGTGATGGATCTGTCAGCCTCTCCTGCATATTATGAGATTTCATACCAGCTGAGGCAAAGTAAACTGTCTGACTGAGGAAGGGAGAGCAAAATAATTCAAACCGTAAAAGACAAAGCTTGGAGTGGTGCAAATTAAACTTCTCAAAGGCTTGTCTATCTTTCCCCCCAGAGTCTTAGTTCTTGGAAGCTCTCGTCTACAATCCTTAGTTCATTGTGACAAGACGGGTCACAAACGCCCTCTAAGCTAACATGCAGTCATCCCATTCTGAACATACAAACTTTGTTAGTCTATATTTAGCTAAATAGGCTACAGACACTATAACTTAACACATTTTTCACTGTTCGCACATACAGTCAGGTGCTATACATGATTTTTTAAAAAATCCTGAATTATACTTTTGGCATCTCTCTCTTGCCTTATGGTTCCAAGAGGATTATGGGAGAACAGTTCCTTATACATCTGTATCTGTAGGAGAAGGAAAGGCAGAACCTGGGGGTGGAGTGAAAAGAGGGATCAGCCTAAAATCCATATGAAGCTACAAAGTCCAGCACCCCCCCCCCCAAAAGCCTTATCTAACTCTAACCAGGTGGTGACCTTTACTTGAGAAGATCTGTATGCACAGGCATTTAGCAATAAATCAGCTTAATCGAAGTTTTGTGTGTGTGGTCTTTCCTGCTTGACAGTATCTCACTGAATGTTTCTTTTTATGGTTTCTCAATGCCCATTATTGCCTCCAAGATCAGCTTATGCACATCACCACCACAAACAAGGTTCACACATAGCCTCCACCTTAGCAATAAAACAAAGACATGAAAGAACGTGCAGGGCAGCTGGGCTAGTGTGATCTGAAACTAGGAAGCTGCCTTCAGCCTGCTGTGAGTCACAATTCACTGAGCCTTCCCTGAGAGCTTATGGGGCAATGAGAATTTGGTTAGTTATATGAAAAACTAGAATTGTGTAGCATCCGATTATAAAGGTACCCAACTTCATTAGATTCAGGCAAGGGGGCTCAGGGTGATGGTGATCATAAAGAAAGATCTAGGCAGGGCTCTCATTAACAAAACCCAGCAAAAAACAGGAAGGGCTGCTTGCCAAACAGGAAGTGGTGAGACCGATTGTAAAAAAAGTCATAGAAATAAATATTCTGAGTGGGCGAAAATAATACTGTTCTCCCACAGCCACACCAATAGGAAGAAGGCAGTGACTGGTGCTTTTGTGGAGCATATTTTCTCTGTCAAAAGAAGCAGATGCCCCAACATTATTAAGCAGGTCTTTCACTGCCCTAAAGAAGCCTATCAACCAACCTCCGGTCACTTACTGACCATGATCATATCACAGAGGCAAACCTGGACTTGGTCATTAATGCCAACTCAAATCTTCCTAGCAGCACGTGTCCTCCCTTAAACCTTCCAAGCAAGGATAAACACGAGATAGACAAGAGGTAATTTGGATCACAGCGATCAATATCCAGGTCTCAGCACCTGGCCAATTTTATTTGGACTCAAAAGCATGAGAAGGCCTGCTTAGTAGTTGAATTGGACCCCATCAGCAAATCCCAAGGTGATAACACTAGTCCAGGAAGTCCAAGGAACATTCTGGAAGAAGGCAAAGGCAAACTTTTATATTTGCTAAGAAAACATGATTTGTGAGCGGAGGAAAAAAGCAAATACTATTGCACGACTAAATTATATCAGACTCATGCTGTAGCTAATGTTTGATTATTGGAATAAGGTAGGGGGGAAAGATGGTTAAATGTAAACTGCAAACCCCAATTCTAGACTGCTTTTCTAACCCTCTCTTCCAGTTTAAGCTATGAATAAAAGTGAATGTAACTGGAAAGTATATCCAGAGATTAGTCAAATACTAAATACTACCTTCTCTTTTTCAATTGTAAGCCAATTTAGTTCTTAACCTACAATTATTTTTCTATTGGTTACTCTGGATGTGCTGATCAGCTTTCCTCAAAAAAACAACCCTTTCTGTAGAGGGGTCCCACTCCACAAGCAGCTGAGAACGACATAAGGTTAGTACAGATGGTTAGGCAGGAATAGCAGCTAATCCACAACCAAAAAGAGAATCTTGCCACAAAGAAACACCATCATCCCCTCCCACAGCACGTATGCCAACTGAGAAATTGAAACAAAGCGAAAACTACACTATAATTTATAATGTTAACATGCTTTGTTATTAGCTGCTTTCCTGCAGAAAAAAATATCAGCACTCACAGCAGGCTCAGGATGGGCAGCAGGCACACTTTTTTTTACATGTGTAAATCTATAAGAAACTTTTATATTTAGCGAAAATTGGCATGGTTTGTTCCATCTCTTATTTTAACGGCAACCTAAACAAGAGTTCAGAGACAATTATTTGGAGATAATGCTTATAAATAGCAATTAGCTGCAACAATTTATAACAGAGTACAGTCTGCACAGTACCCTATTCCTTTTTAGAAGAGTAATTTCACCTGCTAGCTGCTGGGAATTAAAAAACAACATGAGAAAGTAATTATTAGCTTGACCTGTTTGCTGTTTTCCCTTGAAGGAGCACTGGCTGCTGTTAGACAAAGGGGCAGACATTAAAGGTTTCTAGAACTAGAAAAACATTTGTGAAATTTCCTTCAGCATCTCAAAATACCTTAGGGCTGAATCTAATCTGCATAAGAAAAGTTGGCATTTGTTAGCAAATCTTTTTCCTTAATGAATGATCAGTTTCAGAGACAACTGTTGGAATTTCTGCATTAGTGCCCAAATGGACACCGTAATGAATGGGTCAATGTCTAGATGTGTACACACACAGTGTTTACATCCCACAAGAGATTGGATCCACAGGGAAAAAAATACCCCCTTCCAGTCACCAGTCTATAATAGCCATATGAGTTTGAAATGTTAACTGGATGTAGTATGGCACCTGCCACTCAGGGACCAGGGACCGTGGAAAATGGTACATGTTATAATGCTGCATCTGTGATCGAAGACCACAAGCTCACCGCTTCCCAGACTGCTGCATGATAACCTTTTCAATCAACTCTAAATTTCCTGGCTGAATAGGATGTTGAGACACTGTGGCAGAGAAAGCCAGGAGAAAAGAAACAGTCAAATTCCAAATGGCAGTGCTGGAAAACTCTTCTGGAACGGCAACACGTGCTTTTTCAGACTGCACAAAGAATGCATCAACCTCAGCACAAATTCATTACTGTAGCTGCAGTCTCATGGGAAACACAAGCTGATTCTAAAACAATCAGGAGCTTTAAAAGCTGCTTGAAATTAAGGCTTGTGGGATGTGTGCACAGAGCTTTTACAAATTTATCTAATGGGAGGCAGCATCTCCCTGAATTTATCTAGGCTCAGAAATTAAGCAGAAGCAAGCCTGCAAGAATTTGGATGGGAAATGCTTATATTCACCCTAGTGCAATGTTTCCACACATTTTCAAATTGCCAAGGCTGAGAAACAGTGCCCAGTGAAAAGCCAGAATTATAGGCTAGACTGGGAAGCAAAAAAAATAAATAAATAAAAATCCAGAAGGCAGTGGCAAGCTACTTACCTATAATTGCCATGAAAACTATAATGCCTAAACATATCAGATAGATAGTTATCAGACTCAATCTTGGCTTTAAGAAGACTTCATCTTTTTGAAGTTTTGACCAGTCAAAATCCTGAAGCAGTACATTTTTTTTTGCTGCTTTTCTTTTTGCATCATTACAAAAGTATGCAGTTACTGCAATAGGGATGACTTAAAGAGAACAGTATGTGGAACAATTTTCATAACAAGTATTCAGATCAATGAGAAACCATAGAAAGTCTGGAATTACATTACTGGTGCTCAAAACAAAAGAAAAAAATCCATCACACTTATGGGCCAAGTCAAGAAATACAGCCACTCAATCCCAATGAAAAAATGTATGAAGCCACCCCCCCAAGGACATGATTCTGATTTCACACCAAAGGGAAGAACATGCAAACTGAAAAGGAAAAATATAGTTATGGAAAAGAGGATAGAAATACATCTTAGCTATATATGGAGCAGAGAAATGACTCATTTGGCACACCAGAGAACCAATGTTACAATGTGATATTTAAGTGTTTAAGGAAAAAGAACCTGAGATAGTCCAATTGTCTATTCTATTGCCCCAAGCTACTCACATTTATGGACCTTCCCTCCCATGCAGAAATGAATAGTGTGCACAGTATTGTCCACTTCATTAGAGGAAGTAAAATGCAATTAGTTAGTGTCACCCTTCAAATTTGATGCATGACAAGTACAGAAAGATCAGAAGAAAGGGAAGTTTTTTGCTGAAAACCAATAAGATGTTTTTTCATTATTCCTTCCTGGATGCTAATCAGAAAAATGAAGCATTATTATATCTCCCCAGAACATTATATCCCAGAGCCACTACTCTCAAACTAGAAAAAAAGTCATTTAAGAAATCTGATCAATAATGGACCACTGATACTCTTTAACTTAGTGGCAGCGTAATCAAGATAGTACTTAAGACACAACTACTTCTCCTGAGTTGACTTTCAGCAGGATAAGAGCTGGTGGCCCACAGGGCAGAAATTTGAAGCTCTCCATTATCAGCATCCTAGTCCAAGTGAGAGTGATGCCTATCACTAGACTAGTTTGATTGGGATAAAGCATTTCTTCTCCCCAGCATAGAAAGGCCATCATAGTGGTGCCAATACTTACAGTGTAATAGAATACTGGCTGCCCCCCAGGAAGCCATATTTATCAGTCTTACGGTAGGCAAGTCCATTGATTTCAGAATCGGACCCCAGAGAGCTAGCATCGTCAAGGAATCCAGGACCAGTCAGTGACTCCAACGTGCCTGACATGAGACTAACAGAATCTAAATAACTCAAAGTATCAGAAGCCGGAGGGACTTTGGATGCAGTAGTGCCCAGACTAGACTGGGAACCCATGTCTTGAGGGGGCCGAGGAGCGGAAAAGTCATGAGGTGTGAAACCCTCTGGAGATGTTGGTGAAGTCTTCTCCGGTGGGGTCATAGGACTTGGGGCCACCACGATCACCGTCGGTGAAGCTGGTGGAACCGGTAGGGGTTTCACTACCACGTCTCTTGGCAAAGCCACGGATGATGACATCCCCACGCTGTCACTCACGATAGCCTTAGCGAGGACAGGAGCCACCGAATTGACCACAGGTCCCATGTCTGCTGAAAACCCATCTCCTGAACCCATGGCTAGGGTTTCAGACCTCGTCTCTCCAGGATCTGCCCCCTTTCCAGTATTGTTGGCCACCAGGGTTATCTCTGCCATCATCGTGGTTAATGTCACCTCTGTAGCGTTGCAAGGTGCTGCCGGGGTCGTAGTGCCAGTTGGCAGGGTGGCTTCTCCGGGATCCATGGTTGTTGTTGCATCATTGGCTGTGGCCAGAGGCAAACCTGGCTTGCTGCCGTTCGTAGCCACTTCTAAGGCCTCGGGAGTCGGAGCCCTCCGCTTGAGAACGTGGAGGACCGAACGAGAGGCATGGGGTCGAGGGGGCGGAGATGGGGGATCCCCAGAACCTGTCTCCATAACAATGGCCCCCCTCCCCCCCAATGGGGGGGACGCGGCCTGGTCGCCCAGCCAATGACTGAGCGACGGTGAGGGGAGGGAAGAGAGGAAGGAAGCCCAAAGCTTGGCGGCTCCCTCTCCCCCCCGCCCGCCTACCTAGACGGCGGCAGCGACGGCGGCAGCTCCAGTAAAAGAGGGAGCGAGAAACAGAGCGAGAGCGAGAGCCACCCGAGTTGCGCACGCATTCCAGGGTGCCCTGGCCGACATTCACCCAATGAAGAGCGAGGAGGAAGATGGGTTTATCCAATCACGAAGCGAGTAAAAGGAATGGACGATGAGGGAACTGATAACGAAGACGGGGGGAAGTGCCCTATGGAGAACTAAGCCAATCGGAATAGAACGGGGCTTGGGGATACAGCCAATCACTAAGGGGACTTAAGAAACTGAGACTCAAAACGAGGAAAGGAGGCGATGAGATACTCCGGCGAGAGGCGGGACTAGCGGGAAGCGTCCGCCAATCCCTGACAGGAATCCAGGGTCGGGATTCCGTTTTTCTTAGCCAGGAAGCTGCAGAAGCTTTTATAAGCCGCAATAAAGTAAACTGAAGTCATTTGTTCGGAGGTAAAGAAGGCGTGAACTTGAAACACTACGCAACCAATGAAAAGACGAACCGGCAAGCCTTCTCCAATCAGCAGGGAGACCCCTCCTCTTGGCGCCACCAACGCACGTGACACTTGTACGTGTGCCGTATAGGCGGCGGCTGTCGTCAAATTAACGGCAGCCGTAAATGCCAGTCTTCCAGAGTAGCGTCCTTCCCATCCAATGAAGCATCGGATTGTTAATATGGACGCAAATATTTCCAACCTTGGCCAATCGATTGAAAAGCCACACATATTTCTTGCGGGGATGGGAGGTGGCTCCAGACGACTCAATAACGACGCTAAGGCGAGCTCCTCCTGCGCTTCTCACATTTCAAGCTAACGTGTGTCGGAGCCAGAGACCAATAAGTGAACGATTCGAGCGAGTTGCTTCGGAGGATTTTGATTGGCACTTGGGTTGGCGAATCGGGGGCGAGGAGAGGGAAAGACGGTTTTTAACGTTCTTTTGCGAGAACCTGGCCGGCTCCGGCGGCCTTTGCACGCCGGGATTCCTCGATCCTGGTGTCTTGCGTGTTCCCGCGCAACGTCAGGATCCTCGAAGTAAGAAGGGAATCTGAAAGCAGCAGCGATGCTGATTGAGTAACAGGGCTCGGCTTTCGTTTCCCTCCGAAGTTTTTGTTTCTTCTTGTTTGGGCCATTGCTAAATGCTTTCGTTTTTAGAATAGAATAGAGCTGGAAGGGACCTTGGAGGTCTTCTAGTCCAGTCCCCCGCGCAAGCAAGAGAATCATCTATACCAGGGGTAGGCAGCTTCGGCTCTTTTATGACTTGTGGACTTCAATTCCCAGAATTCCTCAGCCAGCTTTGCTGGCTGAGGAATTCTGGGAGTTGAAGTCCACAAGACATAAAAGCTGAGGTTGCCTACCCCTGATCTATACCATCTCAGACATTGTCCTCACTGTTAGGAACTTTCTCCTTAATTCCAGGTTGCTTCTCTCTTTCCTCAGTTTCCAACCCTGGTTTCTTGTCTTGCAGCCGCTCAAATACTGGAACACTGTGACCAAAATTGGTTGCAGTATTCCAGGTGTGGTCTCACTAGGGTTTTTATAAAGCGGTACTAATACTTCCTGTGATCTTGATTCTATGCCTCTGTTCCTTCCTGGACAGTAGTCTTCTCCCACAAAAGAGACAATTAGCCAAAAAGGGAACAAAAAGAGCCAAGCATCTCTCCAACAGCAGTCAGCCCCCAAATCAGCATAGATTAATTCCAAGGTTAACTTCAGACCAGCAATCAAGTAAGTAATACCCTATCAAAAAAAAAAACTGCCAAAAAAAGCCAACAGTAAACAGCCCAACCAAAGCACC